GATCCGGCATTGCACGCATCATGCCTAATGTAGGGGTCTGGCGCAAAGAGGCCGGAAAGTGCTTGACTAGCGTAGTAAATTCCATTCTTCTCTAGGCAGCCCCTATTTGGGCGATGCAAATGGGCATTTCAGTCATACGCCCGTGGGGCTAAGTCGCGTGCACAGAAGGTTCGCTCTTGCGCGGTTACTCGAGCGTTTTCGCACCGTATCCTATGATGCTGGGTGTGTGTTAGCAGATATGCCCTTCCGATCGACCTCATTGCGGGGAGAGAGCTAGACTCTATTTGCGCAAGGCGAGGCGGGCCTCAAACTGGAATACCATTTACGAAGAAGATGAGGGGGTGGACAATGGACAAATTGGCAACGGACGATGGAGCAATTCATCAACTGGGCGATGGACATTTCGCGGGTCATTCCGACATCATGACGCTGGATTTCAAAGGGAAATGACGAGAATTAGATTTTTATTACTAACTTAGATGCTGACAGGGGCTATGGTATGCTTTACGAGAGCTATCAAGCTCCGATTCCGGTTGGCGATTAGCTCCTTCATGCCCCAGCGCTTGTTTCCCGGTGATTGAAGATGTAGAACACGTGTTTTTCATTGTACCACGCTTCGCAAGTGGAAAGGGAAGAACCTTCACGACTCCTCCAAGAGGAAGTGGACCCCTGAGGGACCCATCTCACAGGATGCTGCTGACACAGAGTATTGGAAGTGGCGGTAGCCACCGATGCCGCAAAGGTTCCTGAAGACGCTCCGCTCCGAGGAGCAGTTACGAAGAAGACTCCCGAATATTTCGGTGAAGTGCGAAAAGCCCATCCTTCTTCTCGCGAATGCAATGCCTGACGGCGGTTCGATGGCGAAGGGAATAGGATGAAAGGGAGGTTGTTTTTAGTTGGGTAGGCATAGGCCTAGCCTATGAATCCCACACGCTGCGGCGTTGCGGCCCCGCTGTGTCTTAGAAGATTTTCCCCTGCCCACGTAAAAAAAAACACAGACCAGACACACACAGACAGACACACACACAGACAGACACACACAGACAGACACACAGGCAGACAGACACACACACAGACGTTTTGCCGTCAATCGATTTTTCGGTATGAAGGACGCACAAAACAGATTCTTGCTACACCAAATGTTACAGAAATTGTGTTACCATATTTAGCAACTTCATTTATCTACTTTTTCCTCACTAGGGCCCAAGAATTCGAGTTTTTGAGCCAAAAATTCACTTTTTTCACGATTAAAGTAAATTTTCTTCTTATTTGTGTATTTTTTTAAAAACAAATAAATACCACAAAATTATTTAGTCATATTCAATTTCAACTACCCATTCGAAACGTTTGGAGAAAAAAATTAGTTTGTATTGTTACATATCAATATATACATATATACATACCTACATGACTTTTGTCGTGTAATAGAATCCCAATGCGTCTTGTGTACCGTCACACTGGATTAATACAGGAATATTTGGGTTAAAAGAACGTATTACTTGTTTGTGGGTGGAATATTCTTGATGTCAGAGAGCACCTTTGAATACCACTGAATATCTTTTTGAAGTAATTGAGAAATTTAGGAGTAAACTCGAAGAAAATTTACCATACTTCATAAACCTCGTTCTAAATCACACTTTTCTTTGAAAAACTGAAGCGGTTTTTAAGAAAATGGCGCTAAAATGCAACAGTAAATTCAAAATTTCAAGCACTTTTCCACAGAATTTGTTTGTCTTTTCGGAATACATCATTTTAAGAACTTTAATTTATAAATACAAATATGTTTACAAATTGCTGGAAATGTGCATAATACCGGCGTGAGAAATGTTTCAAAATATTTACATTTTTGTAATTTTTTAAAAAAACTAAAAATACTATGAAATGTCATTTACTTCCTATTAAAGAGTTTAATTAGTGCTATCTGTTCGAAAATTTTAAAGAAATATTTTGGAGCCGTTTTTGAGTAAATGGCGTTTGAGTGTTTCTTGTTTGGCGTTTGAAAAGAGCTTCAATGGCAACCGTTTATTAATTGTTTATAGTCGATTACAAAATTAGTATTATAGTAGTAATTAGTATTATTAGATTTAGTAAAATATTATAGGCTGGATAAATTGGAATTTCCCGGGAAGGGGGATGCGGTGGCGGACAAGTCCGTTTACAGCCACTTCCAATTTTTGGTGTTTGTAGACAGTAATATCTCATTTGAGGAATCAGATAAAATTTTGAAATTATTACATGTTACAGTTCACTATAGTGTTAAACTGCATTAATAAATTCAACATTGATATTTGACGCTAAATTTTTTTTTAAAAAAATCGGAAAATATAAGTGAAAAGTGCTTTATTGGCTCCCGGGTATTATTGTTTATAGTCGAGTACAAAATTATTTATTTTGTTAGATAATTAGTATATATTTAGTGGAAGAATATAGACTAGTTGATTTTGAATTTGTGGGAAGGGGGAATGCGAAGGTGGACACTTCTTTTTTCAGCCGCTTGCAATTGTTCGTGTTTGAAGACTGTAATATCTCATTTGAGGGACCGGATAAAATTTCCAAATTATTACATCTTAAAGTTCACTATGTTGTTAAACTGTATTTTTAAATTCAACTTTGATATTTTACTCGAAATGTGTTTTAAAAAATCGGAAAATATGCATGAAAAGTGCTTCATTTGAACCCGTTGAGTAAATTTTATTTATGTTGGTAACAAATTAGTACATATTTAGTCGTTAATGTTAGGCTATTTGATTTTGAATTTATGAGAAGTGGGGGTGCTAGCTTGACGTCAAGCTAGCACCCCCACTTTTGGATATATTTTCTTTGAATACAATTTTTTTATTGTGGTACAAAATTACATAATTAGTACACATTTATAGGCTAGTTGATTTTAAATTTCGAACACGTGGGTGTTGCAGCTTGACAGAGGTGAAATAAACCCGCCCCGATTCGAGTTCGTCTCGAATCCTACAGTAGGATTCCTCTGCGGAGGGGGCTGTCCGGACAGCACGCGGTCGTTGCCACATCCACACGAGGGCAGCTGACATGTAGGTTGCCGGAAGCGGCGATCCACAGACCAGCACAGCGGTTCCCGCCACGATTGACGTAAGCTCCGGACCAGTTCCTCGATCCCATCCGGGTGATCGAACTGGAACCCGGAGTCGGTGCTCGCGTATGAATACGTATACGCGAAAGTAAACTGGTGGTGCAACAACATGGCAGAGGTTTTCTCGTAATAGTTAGTTTTCTAATTTCTTTCGTCTAGGCTAGCTTTTCGGTCTTCCAAGATAATTTAATTCCAAAGCTTTTCGGTCTTCCAAAGTATTTTTTTTAAATTGATAATAACCGTAATACTCCTTTAAGAATATAAAGAAGGATAAAATTTCGTCCTAAGAAGAAATTTGTGTTGAAAAATTAGTAGTCGTTCATAACAAAATAGTGTTTAAGCGTTACTGTAAACGTAAAATTTGATGTTCTTTTTCACAGAAAATTTCCGAGTTTTTGAAAGCATCATTGGGAGTTATTTGACGCACTTCGAATCAAAAATACAATAGTGTTTACAAATCGCTGAAAATGTGCATAATAAAGGCGTGTGAGATATTTAAAAAATACATGTTTGTAATGTTTGAAAAACAAAAAAAATTAATTTAATTTTATCTTCTTGAACTGTGTAATTAGCACTACCTCTTCGAAAAGTTTAAAGAAATAATTTGGAGCCTTTTTTGAGAAAACGGAGTTGAGTTTTCTAAAAATAACGTTAGAGGGCAGGTGGTTCGGGAATCTCCAAGGCCGCAGCCTTAACACCTACCCACTGACGGCCGCAAGATGCCCACGGGCAGGCGGTCCGAGTAGTGGTCCACGACGTGCTCCGCCAGGTTCTTTGTGAATGTGTACGTGTTGCAGTATGGACCCAGAATCCTGAAATCATAAAAAACAACATGTTGTAGATTGCGTACATGTATAACCAAGAAAGATTTAAAACCAGTATGCAGGTTTATGAAATTACAAAAGAAAAGTGGGTGCTATTTCATTAAATATCTTCTCTAAAATTATCTAACCGAACGTAAATAGATTTCGGTTTTTATTTCCTTCAGGAAACTGTATTGACACATAGACGGCCAAATTAATTCAAATTTGGTACCACGTTTGGAACTCATTCCTTTTGAAAATTCTTTGAGGTTATTCAAAAAGAAAAGATCATACATTCAGAACGTTGCGCCTTCTAGATGGTTATAATTTGCCCCCAAAATCCTCGAAATCTCTCTCAAAAGGAGTCTCGAATCCTCGAATTCTCTCTGAATGCATTTGGTATGAAAGTCTTTGAAACTAACTTTCAACTGCTTCCAAAAATGACCGGTAGATCGCAACACCTTCGAAGCTGCCAAGAGAAGGAAGCTTTGAACATTGTATTTCCCGGAATCCGCTTTTTTCACATAAGTTGCGACGAGATTGTTTTGATTGAGAGCGAGGGAGCCGCGAGCATTTTAGTAGCGATCCGCATTACTCGTGAAAAAAGTAAAGTAACACATATTTCGGCTGCATCAAATATTAGATTTTTTGTTGTATTATTACGTTTCGTTAGCCTTACATTCCAAAGCGTTTTACTCGCGATCAGGGTGCGAGCGTGCGCGCGCATCGCCCTGAAATTATGAGCGGAAAGGAGAGCGATTGCGGTTCAACTATACCAGGTAACACCGACAACCCATTCAATACCTAAGGATTCGTACGCCGAGGTTTTAATCGGGTCGACAGTGCGTCGGCTTTTCAGAATCGCCTCTTCTGACTAGAAAACAGAAAGGCAATGGGCAGGACTTTCTTGGTGCAGTTCCTGCAAATGCTTTCCCAATTATTAAGCAGTTTTTCGCCGCATCAACAACCTGAATGTGACGAGTAAGTAAAAAGGAATAAAAGTACGTAAGAATGTAGGTATTATCTATTAGTATGTACTAGACTATGTTTGTGCAGATTTTGTGAAGACTGCTTTAGTCTAATTAATTAAATAATTGCAACAATGTTCGAGAATTGTTGTATATTGGTGGTTGTTGAGCATTGTGTGTGCTACTTTTGGGAAAACATTTTTGTGTGGTTTGGTTCAGCATAGTTCTTTATAGAGTTCTTCTAGAGAAAGAGCCAATCGTGTGCTTGAGGGCTGTGCTCACTTGGTGGTAAGCGCGCGCAGGGCCACCGGGTCGCTCTGGCCCTGCGCCTCCACCAGCGCCAGGATGGAGCGCCAGTCGCCTGCCGCCGGGTACAACTTCTCCTCGAACTCGCGCTGCCTCTCGTTGCAGAAGGTGGTCGACACGTGCACGAACGCCTGAGACACATGATTGATTGATTAGCGATTCCACGGACTACAGCTACAAAAGTCACTGCCGGTGAACTTCGTCGTCGACTGGTTGGCGAGATCCGGCAGCTAACTTTACGTTGGCTAGCGAGGTTTTTTCCCAACCAGGTGTCTCCCATCTCCAAGGCTCAGCCGAGATAAGTTCTGAGTTCCCCACATGTGTTGCAGTGAAGTGCATGAAATAATTTGAGTACGGATTTAGGACAAGGAAGAAGAAGGAATGATCGCGTGCGGTCTGGGGCCCATTTGTTAGGATACTACTCCTGCATTCCCTTGATGTGAATCGAAGAAACCACGGATTTACTAACGGTCAGCTCAACTGGCCTCTAGGATTCTGTTCCAGAAAGTGGCTGAATTCGACTTATCTGTAAAGCTAATGTCGAAAATCCTGCCACCGTCCGAATTCGAACTCTAAAATCTTATAGTGTCTATTGTGGCCATAGACACAGCACCCCACCCCTTTTATTGCACGTGCCATGCCTCATGTCGAACATGACAACTAAATCTCATTTTTGGATGTGATTTGTTTGAACTTGTTCATGGTGGGGCGCTCAGAGAAACAAGATGTCTGAAGCAGTAGATCCAAGCGTGCTCTTTATTACAAACTTCAATTCCGCCACCGCCATACAAAAAAGAATTAACTTCTCTGTGCAATAAAATAACCGTAAAGCCCTTTTTAAAGTGCAAAATTTTGGTAAATTTTTAGTGTAATGCAAAAATTACATTTTTTTTTTGTTTTTTCGAAACGAGAACTTCCTGAAATTTTCGGGTATAAGCGTTCACCAAAAATGAGTCTAACGCCTTCGTTTTCCCATCCTTTTTTCCCAAACGAGGAGAAAATTTCAAAGAAAAATATAATGCTATTTTAGAGAAAAAATTATTTAAAAATTTTAAATATTGCTCGCAAACGTACACGATAACTACTCGTAGTTTCGAAAAGATGTTCATGACCTTATTTTAAGACCTGTCTTTAAGAAACAGATTTTATTAAAAAAATACTATCTTTGATATTACAGGTGTTGGAAGATACCTAAACTACTGCACGTGTTAAATATTCGAAAAAACTGGGATGTCAACCAACATAAGACCGGCACCATTTCCATCGGAGGACAAAACATTTGGTGCCAATTTTGAGAAAAGTTTGAAAAAATTTTCAAGGTTTCACCTCAAAAATTAGCATATGCTATTGAAACTCCCAAAGCTGCAAGTTCGTTCAGATGGATCAAGGAATATGAATTTTGGAGAAAATCGAAACGGTTTAGGGGCTCTCATTGATCACAGACGGGAAAACAGACACGCTTTGCCGACAATAGATTTTTCGGTGCACGGATTCTGACAACACACGCTGTTAAAAGACGGAACTTACTACATTTAGGAACAGAATTTATCCACTTTTTCGTTACCAGTGCAGGCAGTAAGAGTTTTTCTGCCGAAAATTCAACTTCTTCATACGCGCGACGAAGAAAGTAAAAATCTCTATCTTCAGTATTGTAGGCGAGCTGGAAGGTAGCGAAAAAACTTGGTATTTTTGTATTTGTGCGAGCATTCGGAATGAGACCTGCGCAGTGCCGTTTCTTTAAGTGTACTTACCAATGCGTGAGAAAAAATATGGAGCAATTTTTGAGAAAATTTTGAATGTGTTGGAAAGGCTTTATAAAATACAACTCCCTACCAAATTAAAATACACATTTCTAATTATGAGGATCGTTCGGGAACATTGATCGGGAAATGCCAATTTGGAAGAAATCATCTGAACTGTTTAGGTTCATAGTATTGACCATTGACGGACAGATGAATGAACGGAGGGGCGGACAGACATACAAAGTTAATCAATTTGCGGTATCATGGAGTCAGAAAACTTGTATTCTGACTATATTACATGTTGTAGGAACAAGTTATGCACTGTTTTGACATTAGGGTCTCACAATGCTATTTTTTCGTCAGAAAAAATGTGCTGCAGCATTGCAATACTTAACGGATGCAGCTAAGAGCTGCGACTCTTCGCGAGTGAGCAGTTGGTAGGTGTACCTTGAGCTTAGTCATGCGCGTGGCGAGCTCCAGCAGGTCGCGCGTGGCGCACACGTTGGTGCGCACGGCCGTGATGAGCGGGTCGTCGAAGCGCACGCTGGCCGCCAGGTGGAACACCACGGACACGCGCTCCGCCAGCACGCGCGCGTCCGCCTCCGCCAGCGCCAGGCCGGGCTGCGCCGTGTCGCACTCCACCGCCTGCAGGCGTCCCAACGCCTCCGGCCGCTGCGCGCGCACCCGGTCGAACAGCTGCGCAACACTCACACAGGGCGCGTCAGTCACTCGGACCCACCCGGTGGCTGCTGGCAGGGCATTTACTACGGTCGGCGTATATGGAAGTAGGGGGTGCAAAATATCACACTTTTGTCTTTGTATGTTTAGTATTTATATAGGCGCTAGTTAAAATCACACATATTTGACCTCTCAGTCTAGGTGCTAAGTTCTGGATTCTCGAAACGCCGTATTTTTCGTACTTTTTAAGAGCTTTTCTTTTAAAACTCTATAACCTTAAATCCTACAGAAAAATGATTCAAATTAATTCTAAAAAAATATTTTAATGTTAATTGTCCAACACATTTTGAGTAAATTATGTCTTTTATCAAGCAATTTAAGCGAAATACCAACTTAATTATATTTAAATACAGTACTATTATTTATCTCACTGTTGGTATGTCGTGACAGGTTGTACGGTGAAATTTGCTTCTCGGTCTTTAGTAAGTACTTCGGTCCGCAATGTCTACAAATAACGTTTTCAACAAACGAGCGGGTAACCGTCGCTTCGGCGTGATTCGGATGCTTCGGGATATCAAGTGAAGCAATCCTGGCAAGTGAGTACGAATCGATTTCTGCTGCTGGACCTGCTACGGAATCCGACGTTATTCAGGACCAATTTCGCTAACGCGTAGGTAGATTCGGTGACCGGTGCAGGGGGATAGCCTCTTTCTCGCCTTACCCTGCGTACAAGTTAGGCAGGTGACATACTGATACTGCCTTGAAGTTCAAGTTCTAGTTTGCTTCTGTTACCCTCCGTGGATAAAATTGACGTAGTTCCTGAAAGACGTGAAACAACGCCGCTTCCTCGCTAGTTTAGGGAGAAATGTTGATGCGAATAGTACGAAAAGCAAAGAACGCCAATCAGAACGCCAGAAAACCGATACGTGGTTAATAAACACGCGTGAGGCCTGTGGAATACGCGTCGGCGTGCCGCAAAGGAAGAGTGGCGAAGAAAGAAGGAGAGGCGAGGTTTCCGGTGTCGGGAGTGGTCAAGAGGTGAGACGAAATCTGATGGCAGGAGCGAAAGAAGGCGACGTTTCAAGTGACATCGCGGACGGCTGGTCTATGAGGAAGCGAGGCTACGGTGCAGCCGGAAATGGGCCAAGGCGACGCAGAACGGTTTGCAAGCTGCGCAGTGAGCGCCCGTCAAAGGTAACAGAAATTTTGTGAAACGATTAGAAGCAGACAGAGACTTGAAAGATAGCATAGCAGCAGAATGGATGTGATTGTAAATTTGCATATTCACGTAAAATCTAGATAACGGCAAGGCAGTTGAAAGAACCTTGTACGCCGGTAATACAGTTCATTCTAATGATAAATGTTACGAGAAAAGCTGTGTTAATCTTTGTTGATGAATTTAACTTCTCCCCATAGCAGGTCGCACAGAGATAATAATTTCATAAGTTTAAAGATATATTTTTCAAAATAATTCACGATATTTGTGAAAGAATATATTTATGTTTTTGAATATACATGCATCATTGATAAATAATATAGAATTTATGTTTATATGTCTAGAAACTTTCAAAAGGATATTTCATCAGACAAAAGGCGAGAAACTGTAGCAATTTTAACTTACGTGATTAATGAGAAAATCGTGATTGTGTCAGCATATAAACCACCCAACTTCCCTTTCCCACAAGACATTTATAAAAATATTATCCAGAAACATTTGAAAGTTCTTATAATAAGAGACCTAAATAGCAAGATTACAGCTTGGAGCTGCAATTCAACCTCATCACACGGTAGTAAGCTATTACAACTAATAACTAACAACAATTTAGATATCCAAGCAACCAGTGAACCAACTCACTATCCTTACAACAATAGAATCATCCCAGATATCTTAGATATAATAATTTCCCAAAGAATCAATATCCCAATTTTTCAAACGGTTGTTCCGTATCTAGATTCGGATCATATTCCGGTTATTTGCTCTTTCACAGGCAAAATTTCAAAAGAAAACAACATAAAGAAACCACTAAAAACAAAATCAACTGGAATATATTTCGCGATCTAATGTCTCAAAAACTAGAATTTCCAAATTCAATTAAAAATGATACTTAACTTGAATCAGAGATAACCAGAATAAACAATGCAATTCATAAAAACTTAGATGAAAGTGTTGTATCATTCCCTTCAGCACAGAGACCGTGTAGGAATTTACCTAAAAAACTGAAGATGCTCTCGTGGCTCAATGGCCAATTCGCTTGGCTTTCACCACTAAGATTCCGGGTTTGATTCCTGTAGAATCCTCGTACAACATGTGAAATTTATTACGACAAAACGAGTTTGCATGCTTCACAGGGGCTAGGCCAACACCTGTGAAGCGTCCTAAGCCTTAACCCTATATATCATCTTATTCCTTCCGAATTCTAGCCGCTGGGTAGTAACGCAGGAGCGCGTAAGAGAGAGGCGCGAACACAGAAGATAACCGGCGGTCTTCTTGACAACTGACTGACGTGAGGGGACGGACTATGTAATTAATGAGCATTATTCCCGCGTAGTAATTAATGGCGGATAACTCCATTACATCCGCGTAAATACTAAGTACAAAAGAAAAATAAACATACTAGCGAGGATAATTAAAATCGAATTAGATTATTTAAGATATTATAGTTTTCAAACTCATCTATCACAAATACATCCAAATTCAAAACGGCTCTAGATCACAAAAAATATAACAGGGGAAAAACAAATATTCCTTCCCCAAACATTCAAACAGAAAATTATGTACGTACGGATCAAGACAAGGGTGATTACATTGGCGAAAATTCTGAAAGTACTAACCGACGTAATGATTGAATTGAATTGAATTTGCCTTATTTTACGTGGCGAGACTCGGGCCATCAGGCCCGCTCTTCCGTATGACCACGCAAATTCCACTACGCTCCTTTCACCAACTAGGAGAGAAAGGAGGTATTTCTTGGGCGAGAAACAGGCGATTTGAATTTAGCTCAGAGGCGTCATTTAGGCTTGAGGATCTTTTACATGCAAGTAAATCTACGAACATGGGACAGCCGGCTTTACTTCCCCTCCGAAGGAAGGCGTACGAAGGATTTTTTCGCCCTTAAAAAACCACGGCTTCGATCGGGTTTGAACCCGCTAACTTGGGTACAACAGTCCAGTACGCTAACGGTTACACCATCGCCGCCGCCAATGATCGACGTGAAGCATAACAAAGTAATTGAAAAGTGTATGACAGACATGTTTTACGAGTCCCCTCCCCAATTAAATTTATTAGTCCCTACAAAATTACTACATTTTTAAATAATCTCAAACTTAGGAAGCCCCTACCCATGACCGAATAACAAATTGAGTCTTCAATGAGCTACCAAGAAGCACGATTGCAGTCCTGGCACCCATATATTACTCAGCACTTAGAATTTGGTATTTCCCAAAATCATGAGAACAGTAAATTGACCTTCCAATCGGTAAATCAGGTAAAAATCCTAAAGAAGTAATAAGTTAATAAATAGGCCAATTAGATTATTACCCTGTTTATCTACAAATTTAAGAAACTAATACAAAAACGACTTACCAAATATTCCAGAGAAATAAGTGCATTACCAGATGCATCATTCGCATTAAGGCAAAATTATTGTAAAACTCATCTGCTTTGTAGAACAAATTGCAAATGCTTTCCATAACAAACAGAATACATTTGGACTGTTTTTAAACGTAGAAAAAGCTTTCGATAAAGTTTGGCATACTGGATTACTATTCAAATTCAAACAGCTGGGAGTACTTTTCTATTTACAGGACATTATCAATAGTTTTATTACAGACCGAAAGTTCAGAGTTAAAATAAACACTTCAATGTGTATTTTTCAGACAATCCCATATTAGGAGATTCAAGTCTTGCACTATTCACAGAGTACTGCAAAATACACAACGCATGTAGATATACAACGCAAATAGATACAAATAATATCGAGGCGGTTATCTCATGCTTTGTCAAGTGGGCTCAACAATGGAGAATAAAAATGAACCCAAACAAAATCCAGGCCAAAAGTTTACTCTTTGTCAACCAAAGTTACCTGGCCCACTAATATTAAATAATACTCTGATAATTGAGATATGTTAAAAATATAAGTATGAAATTCTGTAAATTAGTTGTATGGTACAAGAGTGGAGGTGGTGTGCCAACATGCTGTGAATTAAAAATTGAAATATACTATCACCTAAAACGCAAAACGGTCGTATAAGAAGAAAATAAATTTAAAATATAGTATGAACTATTGCTAGAGAACTGAAGCAATACGAGTTCTCCTAATATTAAAACGCGCTTTGTAAATCTTTGTGTAATTGCGGTATCATTACAGGGGTACACTTTGAGAACGGAATTGTCTATCCTGTAATTTACAGATGTCTCCGAAAACACGGTAAAAATGTGTAGAGCTTGAAGAGGGGTTGAATTATTTGCCAATGAACATTACGTGGAAAGTTTTATTCAAAGGAATACATGTGATATGCAAACTCATTGTTAATCAACCCAGTAAGTACAACGTTCTGTAGGGACATGAAAACTGAAATTGATGACATGACTTGACTACCTTAAATGTGAGTTGCGGAACACCTGAGCATAAAGATTACCTGATAATTAAAGGCATTTTTCGTATCTGCAACTCGATATTTTGATATCTCCTACCATATGTTCATTGGCAAAACGTGATCATTTTCGATCAACCAATTAGAATTACTGTCACTACCAGAAAGTAGTAGAAGATTGTAACATTAGTGTGTGGTGCTGACCGGGACGTCGAGCAGCTTGT